CAAAACCGATGAAGAAATCGAAACCGATGCAAAAGACAAAACTGACAGCCAGAGGAATCGGGACACTGCCGGGACATTCTGGGCACAGCTGGGAGAATCTTCCAAGACCCGGTCCACAAGTTAGGCGTTAGATTCTTTTATATATAAAAGTACACAAAATTAATTTATATATACAGAAGTCTATATATCGTCAAACAGAGCTGCCCGGTAAACCGTAGGCAGAGAGGGAGAAGGGGACAACAAACGAGGGGTATACATAAGAGTCAATCAGAGGTGCCCGTTAACCGTAGGCAGAGAGGGAGAAGAAAGGAGGACAACAAACGAGGGAGGGGCTGTGACAAACTGTTTTGTCGGAGTTTCACAGACTCGTCAGGAGGCTGAACCCTCAACAGTCTGCAGAATCCCCTAACTGATTACACTAAGTGATAATCCACCTTCCTTAACCCCGGCTGTGGTTAAGCATCAACGACTGACCGACAACTGATACCCCTCTGAGGTGGTGGGGACCACCAACCACTGCCCTCAAGGTACCTGTGACGAAATATATATCGTCAAACAAAGCTGCCCGGAAAACCACCGTAGACCAGCCGCTCATTTGTTGTCCTCTTCTCCCTCTGCCTACGGTTTACCGGGCACCTCTGTTTGACGGTATATAGGTCCTGGAGTGCATTTTCTGAATTTAGCTATTATTGTAGGCAGCACACCACGCACAATGAATAGCCTCATGAAGGAAGGTTCATTGAAGAAGAGTTTTGATTCTTTTGAATATGGGGAGCAATCAAGGGCATACTCACAATGGGGCTAGTTGATCTGAATTTCACTATGACGTCCTCGATAATTCTCGTTAACAAACAAAATCCAGCTCAGTGTGTCACGTTCATGCTACCAACACAACCTGCCCATTATAACGGCCAGGTTCATGCTTTCCAACCAAGAGGATAGCACCAATGGGACCCGGGTTTTTTAACGTTTGAACACACTTACGATAAGACTTTTCTAAATCAACACCCAGAGAAATAAACTCTTCACACATGCAGCCTGTGCTCATGAGCTAACATTCTTATGGGATATTCACATTAGGCCTTTATAGCTGGTGAATCTTGCTGTGCGATTGAGATACCAATTGAACAATTGCTTCTGAACAACCAATCAAATTGCTTTTGAACGACAAATCAACCAAGCACAGAGTAGATATTTCTACCGTCTTCCTCCGAGGACAACGCACCCTAATAATAATTGTATATAAGCCATATTTCTGGTGAGGCAGAGCCAAAATGAGGGTGCGTTGCATTCGGGGCAAGACGGTATTAATACCATTAGCAATGCAGCGTGTCCTTTTCATGGGTGCACTGAGGGCACTTGCCGGAGTGGGGTTCTAGAAGGGGAGGCAGGAGGGAACAAGTAAATGTCGTTTGTAAAACCCAGCTCCATGCAATGTTATCCTCTCATCCAAATAAACGCATCAGGGAAGGAGAGGGGGGG